TTTGTATAACTGGCACGGGGCAAAGGAGAGCCGGGCGCATGAGGGTCAGGCTGGATGTTCTCCGGGTGGTTGATGGCATTGCCAGCCCTGTTCATGGGGGTGCCGTCCGGAAGGTAGCCCACATCGTTCTGAAACTTCAGGTCCGCATACGCATCCTGCTGGAATGCATACGAAAAGCCAATGGGTCGTCTCACCTTCGTCTCAGCACCGACAAAGGCCGCCGTTGCCATGACAGGCACTGGGGCTGCAGCAGGAGCTGCCGCAGGAGCCGGTGCAGGAGCAGCAGGCGCAGAAGGCGCGCCTGCGGACATGTCCATGTGGTTGATGGCATTGCCAGCCAGCTCCAGCGGAGTGCCATCCACCAAGTAACCAGTCTCAGCCGCATACACAGAGGGAGGCAAAGGCGACCCAGGCGTATGCGGGTCCGGACCGATGGTCTCCGGGTGGTTGATGGCGTTGCCAGCCCGGTTCAATGGGGTACCATCCGGCAGGTAGCCGATGGAGTTCACAAAGTTGGCCCTCGGCAAAGGAGAGCCAGGGTTGTGCAGGTCCGGCTGGATGGTCTCCGGGTGGTTGACGGCGTTGCCGGCCAGGTTCATGGGCGTGCCGTCCGGCAAGTAGCCCACGTCATTGATGTACTGGAGGTCCGCATAGGCATCCTGCTGCTTGCTGTACTGGAACTTGATGCCATGGTACTTGTCGCCCGTGGACTGCCCTGCCGCCATTGACGCAGCCACAGGTGCTGGGCTGGACATAGGCATGGAAGGCGCAGCAGGGGCAGCCGGAGCAGGTGCTGCAACCGGAGCACCACCGCCCTGCATGTGGTTGATGGCGTTGCCAGCCAGCTCCAGGGGAGTGCCATCCACCAAGTAACCAGTCTCAGCTGCATACACAGACGTAGGCAGAGGCGAACCAGGAGTGTGCGGATCAGGTCCAATGGTCTCTGGGTGATTGATGGCGTTGCCAGCCCTGTTCAATGGGGTGCCGTCCGGCAGGTAGCCGATGGAGTTCACAAAGTTGGCCCTCGGCAAAGGAGAGCCAGGGTTGTGCAGGTCCGGCTGGATGGTCTCTGGGTGGTTGACGGCGTTGCCGGCCATGTTCATGGGCGTGCCGTCCGGCAAGTAGCCCACGTCATTGATGTACTCCAGGTCTGCATAGGCATCCTTCTGCTTGCTGTTCTCGAACTTGATGCCATGGAAACGGTCGTCCCCACCGCGGGCCTTCTTGGCAACCTTGGACTTTTTGCCACGGGCACGGATGCCAGCTCCTGCAGCAGCGGCCAGCACACCGCACGAGGCGACGGCGGGCCAGACCCCTGTTGCAGTGGATGCGTCCTGGACACTTTGAGCCGCAGCGAGCCTCTGGCTCTGCAACTGCTGCATCGCTGCAGGAGCTGCAACGAAGGCCTCCTGCGAGAGCATCACAGCCCCGCTGGCTGCCACGCCCACTGCCACGGCACAGGATCGCCGCGACATTTTGCAGGTTCAGTGTCTATATGACACAGGAAGAAAGAAACTAGCTGCTTGGCTGAGAATCCGGCAACTGCAGCAAGCAACCCACTCAGGATGTGCCAATGTGTCTCAAGTGCTCAAGCACATCTCTTGCTTCTCGCACACGGGTTCTTGCAGGCGCAAATACCAACAAGCAGCTGCTTCGTGTGCGCTGGCCGCATATATTTTCTTAGTGGCCTGGCAAGCCCGGGAAAACGTTAACATTCCCAGTTCCCTTGTGCGGTTCTGCCTAGTGCTACAGAAAGCTTCCTGCACACGAGCATCACAACCTTATCATTATGTTTCGCTTGGAAGCAAGCTACGTGCCAAGAGCTGGGCGTTGCTATCATCTGAAAGCCGCCGTGCAGCTTCACTGGCCGACCTGTGGCAAGCAATGCCTGTCTCTGCCCATCTCAGGTGCACGCAAGGCACATAAGGGGCGAAGAGCTCACGATGATCTGAAAAGCTGCTTAATCTCCTCAGTACGAAAGCCGTTCCCAATCCCCATCTCTGGCATCCCTGGTCCCTGCTTCTACTTTGTTGCTCTGATATATGCTTGTAGCGAAGTCCTTCACAGCTATCCAAAAGCCACCCGGCCCGACCTAAACATCCAAAAACTACAGTTCGGCACCACTCTCATACCCTGCTAGTACACTCACACACACACACACACACACAACCGCAAACCCACATCAGCCAGCCCATTCATCCATCCACCCACTCGTCCCCCCGCCCTTATCAACCAAAGCACTCAGCCAACAACTGCATACACCCGCGCGCACACGCCCGCCCTCCCAAACGCACGCATCCTCTCACGCACCCGCAATAGCAGCACCAACAAGCGCGAACGCAAATGCGCTGCAAAGCCTTGACATAGATGCCTTGAGGCCATCACAACCTCCCGCAAAACCCATAGCTAGGTAATTGCTTTCGGTGTGAGTTGCTCTCTGATCCAGGTGGGTGGTGCAACCTTATGAACTATACCTAAGAAGATATCATGTTTGCACACGTCCTCGCAGGTTGCAACATGAGCGCTATCAGGTCTATCTGTGCGCGCACTCCACTCGTGTGGCCAGCAAAGAACACACAACTCTGTTTGATCTCTACTCGTCGGTGCGGTGCAAGGCCAGACACGCAAATTCGAAATTCAACGGACGCATCACCAAGTGGCCATCTTGCCACCGAGAAGGGGTCACAGGGGCCACCAAGGGGCCAGCATTCCCGGCTGGAGATCCGGATCCTGCCAGCCCGAGTCAGCAAGTGCAACAAGAGCAGTAAACTGAACCGGATATCTCTCTCGCCGTATTGCTATCTCTGCTTTTCTCCCACTTTCTCTCTCTCTCTCTCGCTCTCTTTCTCTCTCTCCGTCTCTCTCTCCCTCTCTCTCTCTGTGTCCGGTGGGCTTCTCATTCAACAAGAGCGTCCGGATCGGCCATCATTTGAACGGCGACGTGTCCTTCTTGGACCCAACAGAGTACTTCTTGCATTTTGTAAATCTGAAAGAGAATTCAATCAACAGTCCCTCGAGGCAAACAGGACACATTAGCTAGCACAAGCAAGCCACTTACCAAGCATCTGGATCGCAGGGGCCGCCCAGTCGTCAGCTGTTTAGGAACGCACTGGGGTGAATGCCATGTAGTTCTGATGAAGCAAATGTTGCACTCAGACCAGGTTGTTGCATTTTGACACCACTCTTTTGGCTAATGTTCGAAAATGCCAGAAGTATCAACACACTTGGGCCAAAAGCTTGGCCACAGTTGGCAAGTGCAAAAAACTCTCTGCCTGTGAGCCGTTTTGGTTCGTTCTTGTTTCTGCGACCCCTCAGACTCCAGCATCTCCAGCATCTGAACGGGCTCGACTTGCCGACCCTGTCAATTAGCTTTTCCACTCATTGATCATGTTGATAGTCACAAGTTGCCAAATGTCTTCGCGCCTGACACGCTATTTTGCGCGGAACAGCTGCCTTCATGGCCCTTCTCTTAGCTAGCATTCAGCATTCCCCTTTCAGGGCAATGGGTGGAGAAATGTGTAAATGTTCGCTGAGACATTCATCCAGGAGGCTCACTCCTAGGCAGTCCCAAAATCGAACATCACAATCGGCCTCACGGCCAATGCACCTACCAAAGGGCATGCCCCAGTTCAGATAAAATCCCCTCAGTCAACCACTTCAACCATATTAACCAACAGGGGCACGCCACCTCAACCAATTTTACCACCTAAATCCCAAATTCCCAAAATCCCAAAATATATTTTTCCAAATTCCCAAAATATATTTTTCCAAAATCCCAAATTCCCAAAATATATTTTTCCAAAATCCCAAAATATAAAATCCCCATAATTTCAAAACATAAATCTTACAATGTTTTTTATTGTAAGGTTTATGGGTTACCCTCTTTTCTGGGGTTTTCCGGGGGCACCGTCGGCACCGCCCACTCTGCATTAGCAACATCTTCTTCATCCGCTTCATCTTCACAATGTGCGCCACAGGGTTGGGTTGGATTGCTGTTGGTTGAACTTTTGCACTGCATTTGGTTGCCAGTTGTCGCACCAGCATTGAGCATTCAACCTCGCTTGAAATGAAGCGATTTGGTGTTCATCTGCCCTACCTCCTGTAGTTGCTACTGACGCTATGCCTTTCTTGGTTGCCTCTCTCAATGGCATTCGCAGGGCATATGCTGTGCCAGATGCCATCTTTGAAGAGATGAACAATGGAAACGTTCCAGTGGACTTGGAAGAGTGGATGGTGCGAGATGCTGGGGAGATTGCAGAGATGCTTTGTGAAGCGCGGAAGAAGGACGAACTCAAGACTTTGGCAATCCAAATGGACATCCGTGTGAAGTCAAAGGACGCCAAGCCGGTGATTGCCTTGGCAATTGCCAACAAGTTGTGCGAGAACTTGCCAGAAGATGCCGCGATATCTTGGGAAGAGCACACACAGCGCGTGAAAGATGCCATTGATGACCTGTCAATGTTTGACAAGATGCTCTTGGTCAAATGGTGCGTGGCAATCGTTGAGAAGCAGACCCAGTATTTTGAAACCCTCACTGCCACCATCACCAATGAGGGTTCGGTTGCCTTGTCGCTCGTCATTGAGATGATTGAGAACGAGCACGAGGAGCAGATGGATAAGAACAGCCGGACGGTCTTGTCCTATGTCAAAACGAAGGCGGATGAGGAGTATGAGACCACTGGTTTTCCGGATATGGAAGACATCCACCTTCACAGCGAGGGGGAGCAGAACAAGCGGACTTGCAAGGTGTCTCTTGATGACAAGGCGGTCATCAATGTCTTCTTTGACCAGCGTGCGACCGGCAAAGACCTGTATGACAGCATCTACCGCCTCACAGGACTTGACCGCGAGGATTACACGCTGAATTTCGGCACAAACGAGGGAGCAAGCGTGCTACAGGACTATGATGGACTGTATGCCTACCTGACCGTCAAGTGCTGACTATGCAGTTCAGGGTGCGCGGTGGTGGGGTTGGTGCAAAGACCACCAAAAAACCAGCTATGTTGAAGTCCTTGCGCGAGAAGGTTGTGTCCAAGTCTTCCTTGGTGCCTTCTGTCGACGACGCCTACATGAAGAATATTGAGGTCTATGTGTCCAAGACCTTGCAGAACTTTGAGACCAACAGCGATGCTTCTACCAAGCACGGTGAGTTCAAGAACTTGCTTGCATCCGTTGAGACTTCCGCCCTGACTGAGATGCTCATCAAGATTGGTGCCAACAACAACAAGGACGCCAAGGTTTCAGGTGTGTCTCAACTGCCTTTTGGTGAGAAGACCGCCTCGTTGCGTGCTGTGGTTTCCAACTACCAGAAGGCGCTTGCCAGCGTGGAGAGTGCCGGTGTCTTCGTCCTGTGCAACACCTTCCTGAGCGAGAGTGGTAAATTTGAATTTTCCAAGTTGAAGGATGACATCAACAATGAGTTGGGCAAACGCCAAATTCGCAATGAAGTCCGTGCCGAGATGGGCAGAATGATTGACTGATGAGCAAGTTGCATTAGGCATCAGGTCAAACAGAATGTTGCCCAACCACCTTGGCAACCAATCCGCTTGGTCAAACAGAATGTTGCCCAACCACCTTGGCAACCAACCCGCTTGGTCAAACAGAATGTTGTCCAACCCGCTTGGTCAAACAGAATGTTGCCCGACCACCTTGGTGCCAGTTGCAACTTGCTTTGCCATGAGTGGCGTTCCGCTTGTGCAGTGTGGAATGCTGCGCTCCTAATATTTTGGTTGCTGTCCACGCGTGGATGGAAAAATGAGGTGTGCAGTAGAGCAGTAGGTCTTTCGGTATGTAGGTCTTTAGGTTACCACCCTTTGTTATTCCCCACTGACCCTTCACAACGCGACTTGTCTCCGCGCAGGTATCTTCATCATGGACTTTATCTACAAGGCTTTCCTCTACTAGGTATGGACGGGAGGTGTTGGGAGGGTTTTTTCTTATATGTATATATTATATAAGGGGGAACTCTCGCCAATTTTTTGTTGCCCTGTTTGGCGATTGGCAAGAGTTTCTGGATATATCTATATGTATTTTTGTGTTTTATTTATTTTATAAACTATGGATTATCCCCTTAAAATTCATCATTTTCAAAATTCTAAATTTCATAAATTTTACTGTGTTGTCGTTGGATGAACCTAGAAATTTCAAGTCTGAACTCCAACCCCAACTCAAATTCCTTAATCTGTCAAACTCGTCAAAATCTCACAAATCAATTCAGCAGGTATTTTGTATAAATCTTCCTGCTTATGTATTACATAATTATCTCCCCATTCTGCTTTAGTTTTTGATGGCAGTCGTTGCGCAGTTTCAATATGTTTATTATTCCTTATTTTTCCACAATCTCTATTACATAAATCTCTAGGTGTCCAATTCGTAATGTTATTCCAAAGTCTAGTGCGTTTTCTGTAATTAAATCCATATTTGCAATAATCAACATCTTTAACATCAAACTCATTCATAAACTCCTGATTTTTTAATAATCCAGTTTGAGGATTTTCGATTACAAAATATTTAGGATTAAAATATTTGATAATCTCAATAGTTTTTAAAACTATACTATTAGCATATTCAATATTCTTAATTCCCCTAGTTTTTGCTACACTATATTCAGTGCACGGGGGACTGCTCCAAATAAAATCAAAATGGTTTCTGTCAAATTGTTTATAATCCCATTCCAAAATATCACAATTAATATCAGCATTTTTCCTGAGATGACATTAAAACCTAATGACTTTGCTATGGTTCCTACACTTCCAGTTCCACTAAATAATTCTAATAAATTCATATTGTTTATTAGAATGATTTAGAAAATGTTTAGAAATATACATATTTATCATCTTCCTTAATAATCTTATAGTATTCTAATGTTTGTTCTTTTGGACTTTTGATTTGTCCCTTATTTAACATATCACAATATTTTTTACGCTTCGTGTCATAATCACCGCTGGGTCTGCCTATCCCTTTCTTTTCAAAGATTTTCTCAATCTTTTCCTTCTCTTCATTGTTATTTTTTGGTTCGTTTGCCTTTGCATCAAGTTTCTGGTCAATAGTTTTTATCATCTCGTACAACAGTTTAACATTTTTACTAACTGTCATTATTTTCTTTGATAGTTCAGAAATAGAATCATTCTCAACTTCAGACATTTCTATATATATTTATTTATATAATTATTTATTTAAATATTTATTTATTTATAAAATTGATTTAATGTAAAATCTACTCTTTAAATACTAAATTTTCATCATTTGTTTAATAGTTTCCTGTGCTTCGTTATCACCATTATCGGATGGTGATGCATGCCTTCCCCATTTAAAAGTTATATTATGGACATCAGTTTCTAAGTTGATACTGTCTTTAGTTTTATCAATATTCATTTTCTTATCGTTTTTACTCAATTTGAAATTTGTCGGAATACACGAACATTTACAATTTCCTTTCTTTTGAATTTCTAATTCGTTCTTCATTGCTAACATCTTTCTACACATAGGACACTCAAACTCAATAACTGATGTTTCTTTAACAATTTCTTCTTCTTAATCTTCATCTGTTGAAGAAACTGTAGTATCTGTTTTATTCTTTTTGTTTTTCTTTTTTCCCATTTATATTAATATTTACATTTTTATGTTTGATATATTGTATTCCTAATTTTATTAATTCTAATGTATATAAAAGCATACTTTCTTACATCTGTTGTCAGTTATTATTACTTGTTCTATATTCTCTACTTCATCTATTATATCAATATAATCTGAATAACTTCTATCCATATAAATAATAAGATAAATTATTCTAATTCATCTTATTATTTCATGCATAATAGAATATTGGTGGGGCACAGCACTTGGGTTTCATTGCACACGCGAGCAAGACACAAAACTAATTATCTTCAATGCTTATTGATTGAAGTTGATGAAAGAGCCTGTTCTACTACGATGGACACCATTCATATCATAGCAATGCTTTCATACAATAAATAATATTAAATTATTTTCTAAATATCTTTAATATTATTTTATTATGCCTGATGTAAAACCAATTGACGAAATCAAGTATGACTTTAAGCAAAGCAAGCACGAGGTCGTCCCTAAATTGCCGATGAGAGCGATGATTGTAGGGCCGTCAGGCTCTGGAAAGAGCACCCTACTTGTATCAATGATACTTGATATTTATAGAGGTGCGATTGAAAGAATTTTTATCTGGTCCCCATCAGTAAATTTGGATAGTATTTGGTTGCCTGTCAAAAAATACATTAAGGAAGGTTTGAAAGTAGATAATGATAAAGAACCGTGTTGGTGGGATGAGTTCAATGTTGAAGATTTAGAAAGAGTTATAGAAACTCAAAATAAAATAATTGAATACCAGAAAAAACAAGGAACGAAGAAATTATTTAATATTTTGGTAATTTTAGATGATGTATCTGATAATCCAGCAATAACAAGAAATAACAAATTGTTAAATTCTTTATTTTGTAGGTCGTCATAGTGGAATATCAACACTTGTAAGTCTTCAAAAATCATCAACCGTGCCACCAATTATTAGAGTAAATATAAGTCATTTGTTTTATTATAAAGTTAGAAACTACAAGGAGATAGAAATATTACAAGATGAATTATCAGCAATTGTTAGAAGCGATAATTTACACGAAAGCAAGAAATTAATTTATAAAATATATGAAACTGCCACTGATGAACCGCATAGTTTTTTATATATTAACCTTTTAGAAAAGAACCCAGATAAAATGTTTATGAAACGCTTTTCACAATATTTAAGAATATCTGATAAATAATGTTTAAAGAATAAATCTTATATACTCTTATATAATGCCAAAAAAGGTTATGGACTATTCTAATACTCATTTTTATAAAATTGTTTGTAAAGATTTAAATATCAAAGATTGCTATGTCGGAAGCACATTAAATTTTGTCAAGCGACGATGTCAGCATAAGTTTTCTTGTCTTCATCCAACTGATAAACATCATAACACGCCTGTGTATGAATTCATCAGAAACAATGGAAGTTGGGAGAATTGGGAAATGATACTTATTAATACGGAGTGTGTTGCTAATTCCATAGAAGCAACACAACGAGAAAGACACTACAAAGAATTACTCAACGCTACTCTAAACACACAAACCCCATCAAGAACAAGGCAGGAATGGGTGGATACAAACAAGACTGTCATAAGTCAAAAGCAAAAAGAATATCGGGAATTGCATTCAGACACAATCAAGAATAAGAAAAACAACACTATGAACAAAATAAAGAAAACATACTGAAGAAATGCAAAAAGTATCGTGAGGAACACAAGGACGAAAGCAAACAGTATCAATCATCATACCGAGAAATGAACCAAGAAATAGTCAAGGTTTCAAGGAAAGAGTGGTATGAACGAAACAAAGACAAATTGAGTGAAAAAATGATTTGTGAGTGCGGTAGTTCCTTTCTGAAACGAGCAATCGCAAGACATTATAAAACAATTAAACATCAAGAATATATCAAGTCAATGACATCGCTGGAAGAAACCCCAGAACAATGATTAATAATATTAATAATTTTTAATATTATTAATTTAGAATAATGACCAGTTGCATAAATCTACTTTTGGAATAGCATAACGAATCTTTGTCTGTTTTTCTTTTTCTAATTTTTCAATCCTTGCCACACATTCTTGAATAGATTTAATTATTAAAGTATCCGCTCTTGTTTTTTCATCTACTCTTAAATTCTTAATGTCTTCCATACTGTTATTTTCATCGTTTTTACTTTGACCAATACCCATTATATATTATTATTTAGTTTTTTCCTTTTTTCAATTCCTTAATTTATTTTTCAAGTTTATCTATTTTATCATTTAATTCTAATACTGCTTTATGAACTGACACGGGTAAAACTAAATAATTCAATCCCAAATACTCTTTATCTTTACATACAATATTTTCAAACTCTTTAGGAATTGCTTTTAACACTTCATCTGCGATATATCCTATATGAGTTTTACCACCATCATTTCTATCGTGTCTTTTAAACTTCTTTGGCTTAAACTTCTTAATAATATTCATACAGTTAGATTTGACATTGTCTATGTCATATTTCAACCGCGAATCAGATGAATCAACAAACGTTCCGTTAATGGTTACTGTCGTTGCTGTTAAATCTATGTTAGTTCCTGTTGATGGTTCAAGTGTATTACATAGCAATTTCTTCGTTCCTGCAACTGTTACATGTTCATTAAAAGTCGATGGAGCATTATTTGTAAAACTTGCAGTATTTACTGTTGTTCCAAATGTCTTATCAATAGATAATAAAACAGAAGGTGTAGTTGAACTATCTGCCACTCTAAACGCCGTGTTTGATGTTCTGAATATTACATCAATTGTAGATAAACTAGTTCCAGCGTAATAAGTTGATATTTCACTTGTTCCCATCTTTAGATCTGTTCCAGTAGTCATTGAAATATTATTCAAAAATGAAACCGTTGTT